AGTTTCCGGAACCATGATCTACAACTTTAGGGTGAAAAGAAATGAAAATCAATGATTTCTGTTTGGATCTATTTGACGCATAAATATCCACTTTCTTCAATTAAGTCGTTACTTGTTGCTAGAGGATGAAGGTGACAATAGAGCTTTGATTTGGTTCTTGTAATAGTTAAACATTTTAATTTAGTCATTAGGAAAAAAAGATGACATGGATGCCTATGTGACAAAAACCATCTTTCTTTTAATGAATAAGATTAAAAGTGTCTTTTTTTAAAAAAAAAAAGATTAGAAAGTATCCTACTTAAGAAAAAAAAAAACTCAATTTTTTTATTATAGATTTTTAATTAAAAATAGAGAATGAATAGAGTTGCTTAGTTAATAAAAAAGAAAAAAAAACATCCTCTCGTAAAAGAAAGTAAATCATTTTTTTCTTTTAGCCATGAATGACCAAAATTATTTTTTTCTTTTTGGTAGATTGATATTAAAATTATAAACAAGTGATTGAATTATGGAATGATAACTATCAATTTCACTCACTACTTTCACAATAAAAAGAAAAGAAAAAGAAAAAAGAAAAAGAAAAGTGAGTTACAACAACAACATGCTAACATAATTCGATAATTTATGTATAACACATTGACATGTATCATTTATGCACAATACATTGATATCGTGAAATCACATGACATAAAAGAATTGATAGATTAGAATTGAGATAGCTAAATCCTTTTCCTCATAAAATCCTACCCTTTTATCGTTGTTATTAAATGAAAAACAAAGAGTTAATGCGATTGCTTAACTAACCATTTGAAGAAAAAAAAAACTCTAAAAACATAAAGTAAATGACTTTTTTTCTTTCAAACTCCAAAACTAAACTTAATGTCCCGCCATCTAGGATCGATCTAAAGAATTAGAATTATATGATTGAATTATGAAGTAGTTTAAAAGCGCCAATGTTAGTTACAACTCGTACTAACAAAATTAGATCATTTATGCATGATACATGTCCACATGATATTTATACGATGGATACGATTATAATCGAGATAATTAAACCTTTTTTTCATCATCTTTTTACCTTGTGATATTGTTGAATACAAATGAAAAGTTGATATGATTGCTTGTACTACTAAAAAAATAATTATTTTTCCTTTTTCTTTGAATGACCAAAAATGTTTTTTTTATTGTCCAAAGATTGAACTTAAGAATTGAATCATATGATTAAATTGTAAAATGATTTAAGAATTTTTAATGTGAGTTACAATAATGACATATTAGCATAATCCGAGTCATATACATATAGCACATATTAATATCGTGACATCACATGACATATAAATGATTGACAATATTAATCATGATAACTAAACTCCTTTTCATTTAATCTTGAAAAACTAAATATTAAATAAACAATAGAACTAATGTAGTTGCCTAACTAACCACCGAAAAAGAGATTTCTCTAAAAACAGAAAGCAAATGATTTTTTTTTTTTTTATCTTTTGAACTCAAATAACTAAAGTTAATCTCCTGTCATGCGGAATCGATCTAAAAAATTAGAATTGTATAATTAAATTATGAAGTTGTTTAAAACCCGTCAATTTCACTTACAATATATACTAACAAAATTAGATCATTTATGTAAAACAAAGTTCACATAACACACACATAATATAGACAATCACAATTGAGACAATAAACCTTTTTTTTTAACCAAATCCATGTACCTTTTATGAACATTATTGAATAAAAATAGAGAGTTGATGGAGTTGTTAAGCTAACCATTAAAAACAAAACTTATTTGCAAAAGAAAAAAACGTTTTTTTTTCTTTTGGTCTTAAATAAACAAAATTGATTTCCTCTTATCAAAGGATTGATCTAAAAAATTAGAATTACATGATTGAATTACAAAATTATTTAAAAATTATTAATGTTAATTACAACAACTATATACTAAAATAATTTGATCATTTATGTATAATGGATGTAGATATCATGCCATTACATGACGTATAAATGATCAATACGATTAGAGTTAAGATATCTCTATCATTTTTCATGAAATATTTTTTTTATAGATATATTATAAAATAAAATAGAGAGTCGACGGTTGCTTAACGAACTACTAAAAAAAGCCTTCTCTAAAAACAAAAAGTTTTTTTTTTTTTCATTCGAACTTGAATGATTAAAATTAATTTTACCTTATTCAAAGTTGATCTCAAAAATTAGAATCATACAATTGAATTATGAAGTGGATTTAAAACCCCTACCATCGGTTACAATATCATACTATATTTATGCTTAACATACATTGTTGATATCGTGACATCACATGATATATACATTATAGTAATTTAGTTATCTAAACTACTTTTCATTTAAAAAACTAGTTAAACCTCTAATGCTATTATGTCATTATGATGCCATTAAAATCTAATAATGGGGAAGACAAGCAAAACCACCTAACATAGGCAAGTACATATTTACATGATATATATACGACGGATATGATCACAATCGAGATAATTAAACTTTCTTTTCATCACATATTTTAACTTTTTAATGATATTATTAAATACAAATAGAAATTCAATATGACTGCTTATACCACTAAAGAAAAGTAAAAGATTTTTTTCTCTTTTTATTGAATAACCAAAATTATTTTTCTAGAGATTGAACTTAAAAATTGAATCACATTATTAAATTATGAAGTGATTTAAAAATTTTTAATGTCAATTACAACAATGACACTAACATAATCCGAGTCATATATGTACAACACATATTAATATCGTGACATCACAAGACACGTAAATGATTGATAGTATCATAATTGAGATGTCTAAACTTTTTTCACTGAATATTGAAGAAATATATATTAAATAAGAAAATAGAGTTAATGCGGTTGCCTTTAACCACAAAAAAAAAGCTTTCTCTAAATACGGAAAGTAAATGATTTTTTTCTTTTTTGAACTCGAATAACTAAAGTTAATCTCTTGTCATCCATGATCGATTTAAGAAAATTAGAATTGTATAATTAAATTATAAAATTGTTTGAAAATTGCCAATGTCAATATAATGCATACTAACAAAATTAGAACATTTATATAAAACCATAGTTCTTATAATACACACACAATCTATACGATCATAACCGAGATAGTTAAACCTCCTTTCAATCAAATCGTTATGCCTTTTATGGACATTATCGAATAAAAATTAAAGAGTTGATGTAGTTGCTAAGCTAAACACAAAAAAAAAAAAATTTTATTCGCAAAATAAAGTAAATGATTTTTTTCTTTTGGTCTTAAATAAAAAAATTGATTTTCTATTATCAATGGATCAATCTCAAAAATTAGAATTGCATGATTGAATTACGAAGTTGTTTAAGAATTATTAATATCAATTATAACAACTATTTACTAACATAATTTGATCATTTAGATATAACTGATGTCGATATCATGTATAAATGATCAATACAATCGAAATTAAGATCACTATATCATTTTTCATTAAATCTTTTTCTTAAAGATATATTATAAAATTAAATAGAGAGTTTAACGATTGCTTAATGAACTATTAAAATAAAGCCTTCACTAAAAACTGAAAGATTTTTTTTCTTTCAAACTTGAATGACTAAAATTAATTTTATTTTATTTAAAATCGATCTAAAAAATTAGAATTATATAATTAAATTACGAAGTGGATTTAAAACTCTTGCCATCGGTTGCAATAACATACTTTGATATCGTTACATCACATGATACATAAATGATCGCGTTTCGGATATCTAAACTCTTTTTCTGTAAAAAAATAAAAAAAATTGTCAAAACCCTCTTATGATAATCTGTCATTATGATGCCATTAAAACCTAGTAATGGTGAAGACAAGCAGAACCACCCAACATAGGCAGTACACGTTGAAATTTGGTAGAAAAATTACACAGATTTTTTCACCAACCCAATTTTTAAGCGTTATTGATGTGGCCCGGTAATAGCCCCCACATCACACTGTGTCCTTAAGGATTAGACCAAAGCATTATCTTAGGAAAAACCCCAAAAACCCATATCCAAATCCAATCCTAACTTTCCACAGATTTTCTTTTCTGTAAATTTAATAACTATCCATTTACATCTCAATATACTAAATTCATTCAGGGGCATTTGTAGTAATTTTGAGTAAAAAACAAGGGTATTATGCTATTATCATTGTCACCTTCCTCCTCCTCTATTTTATATTTCACATCTTGTATTCTTCTCCCTCCCTCCGTTTCTCTCTGTCCAGCCGTCTCTCTCTCTCTAAAAAATCTCTCTCGATCTCTCTCTCTCTCTCGCCTGGTTTTTTTCTTCTCTCAAAACCAAAACAGCATTTCTCTTAATAATATCTTGAGAGATCGAGGTAATCTCAATTAACAGATCTTTCTCTATCTCTTCCCGATGAGTCAGTTAATCAATTTTTGATAATTTGCGGTTTCTGTGATTCGAATTCTTTTTTATTGTTTGTCGAATTCGAATTGCAGATCGAGTTACTGTACAGTGATGCATGCGATTATTTGTGTAATTTTTTGAGTTTTGATGAATTCAATGCAATGGATCTGGTGTTTTTAGCTACGATGCTGATCTAATTTTTTTATTTTTTGATTTTTTTGAACCTGTTCATTTTGCATGTTGTTGTGATCATTTTTAAATCAATAAAATTTTTTTTGTTTGATAATTTAAGTGATGATTATGCTGATTAACAATGAGCTAAGTTTTGGTCATTTGGTTTTCTTTTAGTTTCATAAAAAATATATATTACGTGCTTGATCATGTTAATTAATTAACGATGAGGTAAATTTTGAATTTTCATGATTTATGGTAGCTATTTTGCATTAATGAGAGGATTGATATACTTTATGTATGGAAATTATGTGAATTATTGATGAGATATTTTTCCTTTTTTTTTAATGTTTTATGTTTTTGACTTTGTTTGTTGTTGTAATGTGTAGATCTTAGCTGTTGAGGATGGCGACGTCAACAGCTGGGGCTACAGGATGGTACAGAGGAAAAGTGAAAGCAGTTCCTTCAGGGGATAGCTTGGTGATAATGGCTATGACTAGCAGTAAGCCTGGCCCTCCACCTGAAAAGACTATCACTTTGTCCTCTCTCATTGCCCCGAGATTGGTAAGGCGCTTGGTTTTGTTGATATTTTAGGTGACGATTGAGAGTCGCCATTGAATTTGAAAAGATCGTGTGCATGAGGTTTTGTTATTGTAATGCTGTATCTTTTTGTCAATTACTAGGGTTTTATTTTCATAAATGTGATATTAGAATTTGAGCTGTTTTTGTAAGTTTTGTTTTATGAATTTATGTTTTTTGTTGTTGTTAGGCTCGTAGAGGTGGTGTTGATGAGCCGTTTGCCTGGGACAGCAGAGAGTATTTGAGGAAGCTCTGCATAGGAAAGGTGAATGCTGTTGGAATATGTCATCTATCTGGCGGATTTTTTTTTTTTTTTTTTGATCGAAGTATGCTTGGTATCTCTCAACTTTCTTTTGGTTTCACAGGAAGTGACTTTCAAGGTAGACTATGCTGTCCCGTCCATTGGTCGAGAATTTGGCTCTGTGTTCCTCGGTGACAAAAATGTTGCGCTGCTGGTTGTTTCTGAAGGCTGGGCAAAGGTGAAATCTTTTTGTTTTGACAGGTTACCTTGATATGATTTGTAGCTTCTTGTTGTCTGGGAGCTTAATGAATCTGTCATGTTCAGGTCCGGGAGCAGGGTCAGCAAAAAGGTGAAGCTAGTCCTTTTCTTGCTGAGCTCCTACGCCTTGAGGAACAGGCTAAACAGCAGGGTCTGGGCCGATGGAGTAAGGTGAGCTCCCCCTGCCCACCCATAATAAATTTTAATATCTGGTTCATAGTTTTTGTTTTTTGACACATTGTACAGTAGTACAGAATACATGTTGTTACCTTAATCAAACAGTTTCTGCATTATTAGGTAGTTATGATTAGAGGCTATTGAGTGATGATGTCAAATGTTTACAGCTTACCAGTTGAAGAATGGTATTCACACAGGGCAGTTGTTCCTCTTTGGTCACATCTGAATTGTCTCTGTTCTGATCATTTAGAATTTTCATTTGGATACATCATCCTTAATTGATACTAGTTAGCCTTTTGAATTTTGCTGCAATTGGAGTTCATATAGTGAAAATTGAAATTTCATTCCAAGCTAGAGCTGCTTTCCCCACTGTTTGATGTGACTTGGAGTTGTTTACTGTTCAGATGGTCTAAATGCTCAAGATTGAATTGTTTAATGGCATGATTTTTTTGAATTTGTTTAGCTGGGCTTGTTTGTGAGTTTAGGAAAAATAATGCAGCCTCTGTAGTGACTTCAATAATTATTTGCTGGTCATTGTTGCATCCTGCCTGTCCAGTAAACACTACACCCACTGTGTGTTAATTGTAGAACTTCCCATTTCAAAGCAATAATTTAGAAATTTCAGGACATGTTGCTTTAAGAATCTCAATCATGTTCCTTTAATGTAACTTTATGGGGCAGAATTTGACTTAATGCAATGTCCTCTTTTATTTGTGATCCTAGGCTCCAGGAGCCTCAGAGGCTGCTATCAGAAATCTACCTCCCTCTGCCATTGGTGATCCTAGTAACTTGGATGCTATGGGTCTGCTCGCTGCAAACAAGGGAAGACCCATGCAATGCATTGTGGAGCAGGTTCGTGATGGTAGTACTGTCCGTGTCTACTTGCTTCCAGCCTTTCAATTTGTTCAAGTGTTTGTTGCTGGAATCCAGGTATGGTTATTGTACTCTGATTAGCAATGCTCCTACATCTTTTGAGGTTCTTTGCCTATCTGTCTTATTTGCTGGTGTTAGTGCATGCTCCATAAATGCCTAACACTTGAAACTCCTTAAATTAGGCCCCATCAATGGGTAGAAGAGCTGCAATAGAAACTGTTGTTGAACCTGAAACAACCTCCAATGAAACAAATGGTGATGCGTCTGAAACTCGTGCCCCTTTAACATCTGCACAGAGACTTGCTGCCTCAACAGCCCCTCCAGAAGTTGCTCCTGATCCATTTGGGTTGGAAGCCAAATATTTTACAGAGCTCCGTACTTTGAATAGGGATGTAAGTAAATATTATTTTAAGCTTTCATTTTGTTTTGCAATTTTTCAGATATGGTCTAAATTCTATGTGGATTTATAGGTCCGCATTGTTCTGGAAGGTGTTGACAAGTTCAGCAATTTGATTGGATCAGTATACTATCCTGATGGGGAATCTGCAAAGGACTTGTCACTAGAGCTTGTGGAAAATGTAAGCGCTGAATTGTGTGCCATTATGTTAATCATTTGTCATAATTAATCCTTCGTAATATAGCTAATTAGAGAGTTGCCTTATATCATCTTGCTGTTTGCCTTAGCCCTTCAGTCATTGGATGTGAGCTTGTAAACATCCACTCCTGAATTCAGCCTTGAGGCATTGGCTCAAGTGCTAGGAGTTAAATATTGACGGGGTTTGAATAGGTTCTACGTTTGATATTTACTGAGCAGGGTGGGGGGGTTGATCATTGTTAAACAGAGCAAGGGAATAGGGTAAAAATAAGCCTGGGCAGTATTTTTATGGAAAAAGAATTTTGAAAATGGAAACAAATATATTACGCTTATATTTTTCAGTCTATATCTAAGTTGATGATCCTTATGTAAATTGCAAATTTTGAACCTAAGACTGGCGCTTGTGTTTTGATACAATCTTGTTTTTGTTTTTTTCTTTATTGTATTTGGTTGGTTGGTTAGTTGCTATATAAAGGAAGAAATATAGCATGTGCTTTAGTTAGATTCCTGTAGAATTTGTATATCTTGAGCTATTGTCAATAGCTTACATCACCTTAAGAGAAATTTCAGAGCTCATATGCTTTGGGTTTTTTGTTGCACGGAAATGATTTAGCTGTGTGTTTTTCATGTGCTAGATTGACAGTTTATGGTTGCTTGTCTTTGAAGGATCGATTGATTATATACTGTGCATGAAAATTAAAATGGGTCATGTGGAAGTGTTTCTAATTTTTTCATGGTTTGCTTGTTGATCATCAAATTGTTGTCCTCCTTTGCGTCAACTCTCCTTTCTTTTCAGCTATTGATTTTCCAGCTGAATTGCATCGTTCACATGCTGGCTTCTAGCTTGAGACAACCATCTTGATTCCACGATGTACCTACCAATGCTCAGTTTTAAGAATGACTACTCGTGCTTGGATGCTTTACTGCTTCTAATAGTATTTATCAGTATCCTTTCAGATATATGGATATTCTGAATCTCTCTCTATCTCCTCTCCTGATGTAGGGTTTAGCTAAATTTGTTGAATGGAGTGCAAACATGATGGAAGAAGATGCTAAACGGAAGCTGAAGACTGCAGAGCTTCAAGCCAAGAAAAATCGCTTGAGGATCTGGACTAATTATGTACCCCCTGCTACAAATTCAAAAGCAATTCATGACCAGAATTTTACTGGAAAGGTAGCAGTTGGTCTATTGCTTGCTCGTGATGATTCGTCTCTAATTTAGTAGAGATTTCTTCTCAGTTACATTTGGTTTTTCTTTAGGTAGTGGAGGTTGTAAGTGGTGATTGTGTCATTGTGGCCGATGATTCTGTGCCATATGGCAGCCCATTGGCAGAGAGACGTGTCAATCTTTCAAGCATTAGGTGTCCAAAAATGGGCAATCCTCGTAGAGATGAGAAACCTGCTCCTTATGCCCGGGAATCTAAGGAGTTTCTGAGGACACGCCTTATTGGCCGACAAGTATGGATGCTATAGCTATTTCACTTGATTCCAATGATTCAAAAAAATTCATTACATATAATGATTATTTGTTTTCCAGGTGAATGTGAGAATGGAATATTCTAGGAAGATGACAGACGGGCCTACAGCTGCCCCTGTTTCTGGAGATGCAAGAGTTATGGATTTTGGATCCATCTTTCTGTTGTCTCCCACTAAAGGTGATGGTGACGAAGCCTCGACAGCACCATCTACTGCTGGTGGCCAGCAACCTGGGATTAATGTTGCTGAGCTGGTGATATCTCGTGGTTTTGGCACTGTGATTCGGCATAGAGATTTTGAGGAAAGATCAAATTTTTATGATGCCCTTCTTGCTGCTGAATCACGAGCTATTGCTGGAAAGAAAGGGATCCATTCTGCAAAGGACCCTCCAGTCATGCATATTACAGACCTCACCACGGTTAGAACTATAATAATTGTGTTAAAGTCAATCTCCTTTTTTCCTTCATGGTCCAGTATATTAACTTTATGTGTTTCTTACAGGCATCGTCCAAGAAAGCAAGAGACTTCTTGCCATTCCTGCACAGAAGTAGGAGGATTTCTGCTGTTGTCGAATATGTCCTTAGTGGTCATCGTTTTAAACTGTTGATTCCTAAGGAGACATGCAGCATTGCGTTTTCGTTCTCTGGCGTTAGATGCCCTGGTCGTGATGAACCCTACTCAGAAGAAGCAATTGCACTCATGAGAAGAAAGATAATGCAGAGAGATGTTGAGGTATAGTTTTTTCCCCTCTCCGATTCTGTTATTTTGCCACTCGATTGTTTTCCTTGTTTTGATAAATGTAACTTCAATACAGATTGAAGTGGAAACAGTTGATAGAACTGGAACTTTCTTGGGATCTCTGTGGGAGTCAAGGACCAACATGGCAGTGACTCTTGTTGAAGCTGGCCTTGCAAAGTTACAGACTTCCTTTGGCACCGATAGGATCACTGATGCACATCTTCTTGAACAGGCTGAGCAATCTGCTAAGAGGCAGAAACTGAAGGTAAGATGTTGTATTGTTATGTCTCACTGATGTTCAGAAGATTGCGTTGAAAAATGCATGAAGTATGCAATATGTCTGCTGTTCTTTTCTTGATTATCATTCGACTTAAAGTATAAAGGCTGAAAATTCTTACAGATTTGGGAGAAGTATGTTGAAGGGGAGGAAGTCAATACTGGTCCAGCTGTTGAAAGCAAACAGAAAGAAGTGCTCAAGGTAGTGGAGACATGATTGGATGACTTAACTTTGTCATATGTTAGAAAACAGCCTCTGAGTTTTTCCTTTTTGATATCTTTTTTCAGGTAGTGGTTACAGAAGTCTTGGATGGTGGTAGGTTCTATGTCCAGACAGTTGGGGATCAGAAAATAGCCTCTATTCAGCAACAGCTTGCATCCCTCAATCTCCAAGAAGCTCCGGTAATTGGTGCTTTTAATCCCAAGAAGGGTGACATTGTGCTTGCTCAGTTTAGTGCAGACAATTCATGGAACCGAGCGATGGTGAGAATTAGCCTCCTGCTTAGTTTCAATCTCCATCCACTTTTTATCCAGTCAAAGCTTAAATATTAACTGTAGTTTAACTTTTACAGTTTGTTTTCATTGATAGAATGTCCCTATCTCCTGTTCTTTAGATGCGATGCTTTCACCACTTGGCTTAATAGAATCATTGTTTCGTTTTGATTTATCTTTGTTGTTAAGACCATTGCATTTATGTCATCCCTACATATGCTCATTGTTATCAAGCTAAAATTTCCTGTTTATGACTTATGTAGATTGTGAATGCACCTCGTGGAGGCGTTGAATCCCCTAACGACAAGTTTGAGGTGTTCTACATTGATTATGGCAATCAAGAGGAGGTTACATACAGTCATTTATGTCCTCTTGATCCATCTGTGTCAGCGGCACCTGGTCTTGCTCAGTTGTGCAGCTTAGCGTACATTAAGGTTCCAAGCTTGCAGGATGATTGTGGCCCAGAAGCAGCTCAGTATTTTAGTGATAACACATTAAACAGCTCAAAAGAGTTCAGGGCAAAGGTGGAAGAACGGGATGCTTCTGGAGGTAAAGTTAAAGGCCAGGGAACTGGGCCAGTTGTTATTGTAACTCTGGTCGCTGTTGATTCGGAAATCAGCTTAAATGCTGCCCTAGTTCAGGTATGGTAATTATTTTCGTGTTCTTTGAGGATGATTGTCTGCATGTTAAACATGGTGAAAAAAGCAGGGCCTTGTTGCTTTTTGTGAACACTGGTTCCAGAAACTTCAGGAAAATTAATCACCTTGTCATTGGGTAAATCTCTCGTAGTTGAAGGTTCAGTAAATGACATTATGTGTGCATCCATAAAGGTGTTGTCTGTATGTTTGATCATGAAATACGAACAGCTTGATGGGAATAAGATAGTTTCATCTGATGTAAAGCAAGAGCATAAAATATGCCGTCAACGAAGCAAATGTTGTGAAACTTGGCAAGCTTTTGGTACATTTTCTGTTGGCTGATTTTATTTTATGAATATTTCAGGAAGGGCTCGCCAGGATAGAGAAGAGGAAGAAGTGGGACTCCATGGATAGAAAGGTGGCCCTAGATAATTTGGAGAAATTCCAGGATGAAGCACGGGCTGATAGGCGTGGGCTGTGGGTGCATGGTGATATCGAGTCAGATGATGAGGAAGTCATTCCTGTTAAGAAGGCTGGCAGCCGTCGATGATTGTAATTTATTTACCTCAGGTAAATTAAGATCAGAAGAACCTGACTGGATGAAGATGAGTTTTAAGTAGTTGTAGGCAAGTTCCGTCCCTCATTTAGAATTGAAAGAACAAATAGATGTTTCTGCTCAAACTCAAGTTTTGTTTTCTTCGTTTCTTTTTTTTGTTCTAAAATTTTCTTTGTAGGCGAGCAAACAATTTTTTTTTACACATCTTAATAAGGTGAACTATACCCAGCGGGTTCAGTGTTGATGTGCAACATTATAAACAATTTTTGTTCAACAAAGTTGATCCTATGTATCGTTAGTATTTTCTCTTGGACTCATTATCACAGTTTTTGCTCAAAACTCAGCAAACAATGAAGTCCTACATTACACTTGCGTTAGCTGTCTGTACTCTGAATAGTTTGAAATAGCAGCTGTTGCATATGAATGACTGTTCGTACTCTGAATAGTTTGAAATAGCAGCTGTTGCATATGAATGACTGATCGATGAAGGTATCGGCCACACTTGTTATCGTTGTTTGCTTTTATAGCCGTTTTACACAATAGTGGTGGCAATGGCAGTGCTATATTTATTTATTTTGCTATATTTAAAAAAATTAAAAAAATTTGAATTTTGGTATTTTATAATTAAATTATTAAGTGTTATTAATTTTTTCTTGTAATAAATTTAATGAGATTAATCTGTTAGAGATGCTATTATGTTAACTGCTGTTAATGTATTTATGTAGTCGATATGTGTTTATGATATTGGTTGGTGCTAATATGTTTATGACATTAGTTGTGATCTTTATTTTACTATTACAATCCCTGATTTCGATCATTTTTACACCATTTGAAACTATAGTACTCTGGCGCCACAGGTTATCTGTTCCCCGTTCAATTTTTTCACATATCCTTTTAAGGTTTTCCTTTATATACAGCTGAAGCATCTCATGCCGTGTGTCACTGTTTCTGTTAGTGACTTGGTGCTCATTATGAATGATGCTAGATCCTTTCCATCTAGGTGACTGTTCGTGGTGTTTTCCTTGGAAGTTATCTTGGTGTTTGAGGTACCTTTACATGTTATTGCAGACATGCTTGCTCTTTCATTTGGAACTGCTTTTTTCATCCGAGTTGAATTTGGCTCTTAGTACTGCAAGCGTTTCCTGCCCTTTGTCAGCTACAGGTTGACCATGTAGTTTCTATGAATCGTAGCAGATACCTAGAGTATTACTGCTTCCTATACTGTTTCCTGTTCTAGCGAGCAAGCTCGTTAAATATTTATGTCGGCTAAAGATTTTGGGTTAGAAGCACTGTTTCATGTTTAAGACCGTATAGATACTGAATTGCTGATATGGGAGATATTCGTATGGATGTTGAATTGTTGATAAGGGGGTATTTTGCTAAAGTCTCGAGTCTTATACCTCCAGTGAATGGTTTAACTAGCTTTTGGTGGGAAAACTTGAGAGTTCTGTATAATCAGCAGTTCTGCTTTTATCCTTGTCTTCTTTGTTTCTCATATAATCCTGTTGATCTTAACTGTTTAAGCCATGTTTTGGGAAATCCAAATCCATATCACCATTTGGTGCATCTCATGGTCTAAGCATGGTGTCTTACCTGTCTGCTCAAGGATATATGTTGAGAGATGGAGTAAATTGTTTTCAGTGGATCCTGGCTTTAGCTTGGACAGCATTTAGTCTGGACTTGCATCTTTTTGTTGAAAAGTTGGTTTGGATTTGGCTTGCAACCGAGCTAGGCACTAAGTTAATAGTACCTTCAAAGGAAGATTTCAATTTTTTTGGGCTCCCGTTTTGAAGTTCAAACACCACCTCCTATAGTGTTTCTTTCAGCTGGGGCCGATGACCAGAATAGTCTTGATTCCCATAAAGACAGCGGCTTAAAACAGTTTAATAGCCCATGAAACCATATGGAGCCTAGTTACTTGAACCACTCCTCAAGTCCATGCCCACACAAGCATCCCAGACAATTAAAATTTTAAGTTAGCACTGTTGAGTACAGTTTGGAAAGGATATGCGATCGATCCATGTGCCCAATGTTCAATTATGATTTAATTACGTATATTTTGAGAACAGCTTATCTGAAGCATATAGGAGGTGTGGATGGGTTTTTTTTTTTTTTTTTTCTCACACTCAAAGCTCATAGTAAAAATAATATGTTAGTTGACCACTTGTTGTAAGAGACTATTATCAATGAACTACAAGCTGTTTGGTGTAGATATGCTTTCAACTGGAAGTTTTTTGCTGTGTAGAAATATATAAAAACAGTCCCGAAATAACATTAGAATCCCATGTTACTTGAACTTTAGTTTTACTTCTTCTAACTCGTGATATTTATTTTTCTTATCTTTTGAAAGAGGGTGTGATGGTGTATATTTTTAGTACATTAAATGATTCATTTTTTTTTTTTAAATTTTAAGTCATTTGATAAATGCTTTCAACAATGATGTGGGTCTTGATGGCCAGTCTTTTGGTTGGGACTGCAACAAATCCATTTGGAAATGGCTATTTTCAGGGTCCAAATGAGGGTCCTCTTAAGGCTGCATCTGCTTGTCCTGGGGCCTTCGGCAAGGGTGCCCATCCTGGTTATGCTGGGGATTTGTTAGCGGACTCTACAACTGGTGCTATCTATAATGCTCGTGGTGTTGATGGAAGGAAATACGTGCTTCCTGCTTTATTTGACCCTTCAACTTCAACTTGTTCCGCTTTAGTCTGACAAGGGATCATAAAAATCATATAGACAGTAGAACTGTAAGAGAGATTATTTTTTGATTTAATCACTCTTAGATTCAACGATAATAAAGTTAAATTTTAAGCATATTTGAATGCTATCCCCCTTTTCTTTATTTTTAATAGTTGAAAAAGAGAAGAAAATTAGGAATTTAAACTTATTCATTAAGTAGAAGAGAAGAAGATTAAGAATTTGGCTTTTTATAAATTGATCTAGGTTTATATTTTGAGAATTAGTTTTTGGAATTGGTTTTGCATTAGTAAGCAATATGTCGTCTTGTTTAATTGAAAATTTTAATTTTTGATAACATATTATCTTATGTAGATTGTTATCATTATAACATCTTACATGTTATATCAAATAATGTAAATTTGACATTTTCGACGAAAAATGTCTTTCGCCCTAAAATAGTTATCAATAGCTTAGTTTATATATTTTTCATCTATTTTTGAAAAACATGTCAGAATAATTAAAATATATATAGTTTATGTTTTTAAAGTACAATAAACCAATTAAAATTGACAAAAATCTAACAAAAAATTTTAATTTTAAATAAAAAATAATAATTGGATAGTTAAGAGTAAAGTCTCATAAAAATTAAAAAATTAATTTTCAAACAACTTAAAATTCAAAAACAGCCTAGATTGTTTTTTGAAATTTATAACAGTAAATAAAAGTAAAAAGGTTTTCTTTTGTGATTAGTGCATGACGACTTTGTTTCCTCCAGTTTTTGAGCAAGACAAAGGTTTTCTTTTGTGACTAGCGCATGACGACTTTGTTTCCTCCAGGCTTTGAGTCAAGTACTTTCCAACTTTAATAAAAGAATAATTGAATCAGAAATTCCAGAAAAGAACTTGGAACTTGCAAGAATCGAAGGTTATACTGTCAACGTCTGTGGTACCTCAGCCATTCCCATTAAAGAGATAGACCAACCAGTTTGCCACATGACAGCATCTTCTATAACCAAAACTCCCAACTTTTTATTTTTTTTAACAGTTCATTTTCTACTGCCTCTGCAGAAAAGGCCTATAGGGGAAAAAAAGAAAAAATATGTCCGCATCACAAATCAAACCCACAGCTACAAGTTGCACGGGAAAACCAAAATCATTCTAATAGCAGAGATCACAAGACAAGAATATGTATTGTATTTAATTCCATAGCTAAAAATAAAACAGAAAAGACTAATTTTAGGAAGGTAACTGTCAGTCTGTTACAAGCCTGACAGATGAAGTCATTTACACTCTGTTACATCCGTGATGTTTGATCCATGAAAGCCAAAAAACAAAAAATAGCCAAGAATGCATCCAGAAAAACAACTAAACTCGAGTTCTACAAAAAGTGAAAATTGATAATCATTGGGCTCACTAATCTTATCATTTAATTCTCACGCCTGGATTGCCTCCTACGAGCAGGGGCAGCTTCCTTCTCCTCCTCTTCTGTCTTCTCCTCACTGTTTCCTTCTGTGGTGGACGTCTCGGCAACTGGTTCGGGTTTCTTCTCCACCTCAGCCTACACACACAATGACATGAACATCAGTCTAGAATTGCTCGAATCAATATCTACGAATGAAGCTGCTAAAGTGAGAAAAATAAGGATGACCGAGGTTTCAAACTCACCTTCTTTCCACCAAAAATTAACCTCAAGAAAAGAGTGAGGATCACCACCACAATGGAGACAAGGACACCAATTGTGATCATTGGTTGTTTCTCTGCCTTCTCAATGAGTTCCTGGGCGAAAAGCTCAGAATTGAGGACACATTCATAACAATCTCAAATTTTAGACAGCAAGTGACCAAGTTAAATATGTAACTTACAATAATTCTGTCCTTGTGCTCGCTTAAGAAAGAAATCTCCGCAACCTGGTATAGGAGTTCGAACACCTTCTTCTGCAGAAAGAATGAAAATGGTCAGTTAGATTATGATCCTAACATAGCAATCGGTAAAAAGATAAAAAAAAAAAAAATGTAATGACTGTACAACTCATTACCTGGTAGCCACCAAGACCATCTTTACCAGCAGCTGCTTCCTCAGCCTTCTCTTTCTCCTTCTCGGCGTCAAACTTTGGCTTCCATTTGGTATCCCGGATAGAACCTGCAACCTTCTCATCCTTTGCAATCAAGATATTATCAAACAATATGCCATCCTGCATTGTCCAGATCTCAATACCAACAGCAGCAATGGGCTCAAAGTCAGGCTGGTCAAGCTCAAAGTAGGCAGGGTTTGGAATCTCTTGAGGCTTCCAAATACCCTTGTAGTTGGGGTTGTCAATAAGTGGAGCATGCCATTTTCCCTTGTAAGCTGGATTCCTCTTCATTGGCCTCTTCCATTCACCACACCCTGGGCCTTCCTCACACTTTGGGTTATCAATTTTGGGTGCCTCCCATTCACCATCTTCCTCCTCATCCCAATCTTCTGGTTTTGTAGCTTCAGGATCATCAATTTCCTCAGGCTCATCATCCAACCATCCTTCAGGTTTCACAGCATCCTCATCTTCAATTTCTAAAGGTGCATCCTCATCCCAGTCCTCTGGCTTCACTGCCTCAGGATCAGGAATTTTTGCTCTCTCATCCCAGTCCTCAGGTTTGAGATCATCTGGATCAGGGATTGTCTTGGCAGGGATAAGTGGGGGCTCAAAGTCTTCAGATGTGAGGAAGTTTGCCTTCTTCTTCTCCTCCCCATCAACCAGAATTTGCAACTCATTGTCAGGTTTCAAGATAGCAGTGTACACATGAGTAAGCTTGTCATGCGGAACAGAAGGTGGGAACTTGAGATGATGCTCAACATACTCTCCACTCTTTGGGTTCTTATGCTTTAAGATAAAGTGAACCTTGTTTGTGGTTCCACATTTGTCAGGTCCAAACATAATCGAATAAGGAGACTCGTTGTCAAATCCCTTGGGCACCCACCCAGCCTCCTGGGGACGAAGATATTTCAAATATGCACCACCACATTCAAGCCCAGTCTGAAAGCGAGTCTCAAATTGGAGAACAATAGTTCCATCCTTAAGACTCACAGGCTTATCGAGTTCCTTCACAATGGCATACTTCCTAGCCGGCTCACTCACAAGAAGTCCATAATCATCATGTCCCTCACTCTTTTCATGTTTCCACTCACCTAAATCCCAAAAACAAAACACCAACATGCATTTCCATATTCAGTAAAGAACCAGAAACAACAATTCAAAAGCCCGACAATAATCCAAGCACAAATGCCATCATTGTAGTTATTCTAAGATCGAATTCGACAGACATCATTCTTTCAAATTGCTAATCGCCAACAAATGACAAGATTAAAAATTTTAATTATTACAGGAAAAAAAAACCTCATATAATTCTCTTCCTTTTAAAATATTTTACCAATATTGATTATTGTGCTCCCCCAAAAAAGCAAACTAAACCGAAATAAATTCAGTTAATTATGTAAAACCTTAACAAATCTTATCTTTTGACCAAATATTAACATGTCATTAATAAAAGCAAGCTATTATTATTATTATTACTATTATTTCATCAAACAATCAAATCTAAATAATAAAGTGCGAAAAAAAGAGAGTAAAAAAATTAGCTTCATCATGCCAGTAAATAAAAAAAAATTAACACAGTAAAATCAACAAATATTATGACTACACACTTCAGATCCAACAAAAATAGAAAAGTAAATTACTCAGTTCTTTTTACCTTTATATTCTTCTTTCTCTGAAACAATCCATCTTCCATCGAACGACTCGTCAAACGACTCATACAAGATCTACACACATACACATACACAAACATCAAAACCATCAGATATCCAAAAACAAACACACATTTAAGTGATTAATTAATAGATCAAGAGCAGTGATTAAGCTAATTAATAACAATAATTACCGTATCATCATCAGCAAAGAGCTGATTGAAAGAAATGAAAGCTAGCAGCAAAACAATCGCCAACCTCAGAGAGACACGTTTCGCTTCCCTCATTTTTTTTCCTTCCTCCTCTAAAACACCCGAACTCTAATGATTTTTCGATTTTTGTCGATCTCAACCTGGATCAAATGAGAGAGGGAGAAAGAAACTGGCCGATGGATGGATTAATTGATCTCTTTGTGTTATCGAAGAGAGTGGAGATATATAGTGAAGTTTGGATCTTGAAGACCTTTGCCATCGAGTTGTTTTAACCAATCAAAATACGTGCCACGTGAATTGGACCAATGATATTACGCCACGTGAAATGATGTATGCGTCTGACGGCTTTTTGGGAATTTGGAAGGAAGAAATTGGTGATTTTTTTAGACGGGCTTGACTTGGTCTAACTAATTTGGCATCGAGGCCCATTAAGGTCCATTGGACCCGTTGTGGGTCTATTTATTTTGTTTATTGTTTTCGGGGTTATTTTGGTTACACCAAACCAGATCAAGGGTCCATTGTCGGTAGAGTTGATGGCCTAACTGGAGAAGCAAAGTGGATGATTTGATTTGCTTGAATCCTACTGGATTTGTAGATTTGAAGATGATTGGCTCTGATGAAGAGCACAATTTCTTTCATATTCACCATTTATGCAAAAGAATCTTACTTTGGTAAATTAGATTGGAGGGCTAACTTTGTGTTGCGCAACAAAGTTCATGATCGATGAACATGCTTCTCGCATTAAATAGTTTGTGTATTCGATTCAATTAAGGTTTCTATTTTGACAAAACCATCATTGTTATGTTAAATGACGTATCTTGATAGATAAAGTATGTTTCTTTATAAGTGTAAAAGATAATTGCATGAGTTTTTTAAAGATAAGATTGGGGGTACTAGTGCTGCTCATTGTATATTGCAGCACAATTGAAAAATGCATGCAACATACACTAATATGTAGGGAAGAACATAGTGAAATGCAATGCTATGTAATGGAATGGAAGAAAGAAATTACGGTAGTAGAGAATAACTTTGTAGATAGTTGAGGCTATACCTAATATTCATGTAATATAGCTATTTATTTATTTTATTTTTGAAGGTTATAGTAGAATTCTCAATCTCGCTAAAATTAACTAAAGTTTGATTAGTTACTTGTGCTTGGTAGGTTTCGACTAACTCATACTTTTAAGGTTAGTTAGTTTTGGTTATATTGGATCTTGCAGAATGGATTGTTTGAGATTGTTGCTTCAAATTTATTATTGAATTTGTTGATTGTGTTTTCGGGTTGTTGATATTTGTAGGTGTTGAGTTTCAGATTGGAATAAAAAAAGGGTTGTTGGTTTTAGCTTAACCCTAATTGTCATAAAATTGGCATTAACTTAATATTAGAGCTGAGGTTTGCTTTTCCCACGAATTCTTAACAAGTTTTGTGATGATGTCTTCACGAAAAAAAACTCAACCAAATGACTAAAGCCGAATTGCTGAGGAAATTGGAGCATACTGAGTAAGAGTTAAGGGGCCTTGCAGCTCAACCTCACTAGTCTGAGGCTAATGAGGAATTCAAATTACAAAAACGTTTTCAACCTCTACAAATCAAATCATATGAAAAAGAAGGGTTTGCCTGTCCTCAAAAGCACACAGAGGAGACCACATCAAGATTTCGATGTTAAGGTGGATATAACTAAATTTGAAGAAAGACAAAACCCTGATGATTTCATTAAGGGAATGCACCCGTTAAAGAGGGTGTTTGACAAAAGAATATGCCGGATGCAAAGAAGGTCAAGATTGTGGCGATAAGTTGAAGAAGAATGCTTTCATATGATGGAAAAACTTTAAAAGGCAAGGAATTCATGAGGATGAGAGCAAAATATCGACTTGGGAGAACATGAAGAAGGCTTTGAATCATAAGTATTTTTTTTTATTACTAATTATAGACAAAATACTTATCTTAAATTTCTTACTTCAAAGAAAAAAATTTGAATGTTGACTTATAAGTTGCTGAGTTTGAATAATTAATACTTAAGTGTGAAATTAATTAGCATGTTGCTAGATTTTTTGAAGGATTAAAACCTGAGATTTCTAGAATAGTGCAATTGTAAGAGTATTGAACTTGTGAAAGGGTTTCATCTTGGGAGACTAATTCCACAGTTTTGGCTAGGGTTCCTAAACCTAGTTCTGGAGTGGTTCGGCCAGAAAGAGAAGAAAGCTCGGGTGTTTTCAACCAACCAAATATAATTGGGTCCAACAATAATTCCCGCAAGTGTTTTAAGTGTCATAGTTTTGTTCACATTACTTCAGAGCGCCTAAAACGAAGGATGATCAATCTTGTAGAGGAGGTCGGATGTGTTGAGAAAGAGGTAGAGGAAGAGGATGATTTGGATGACAGGGAGGAAAGGTTTTTGCTAATGACGGATAATTTTTGAAGATTTAAAGGGCTTTGAATGCTGAGATATCCTAAGAGGAGGATTGGTTGAGATATAACATCTTCCACACTCATTGCACATCTTATGACAAGGTATGTCACTTGATCATTGATGGGAGAAGTTGTGAGAACATAGTGTCGATGAAGATGGTGAAAAAGCTCAACTTATTAATTATTGATCATCCTAATCCTTTCAAGGTGGCTTGGTTGAAGAGAGGTAATAATATTTATGTGAGCAAGAGATGCCTTGTGTAATTCTCGATAGGCATGAGCTACCAAGATGAAATGTGGTGTGATGTAATTCTTATACATGCATGTCATATTTTGTTATGTGATAGGTGAGTTATATGCATTATGGGTTCAAGAACACATTCATTTGATCTAATAGGATAGAAGATTGTGCTCATGCCTAAGAAGAAGGAGCTTTCGATTAAAGATAGCCGAGAAAAGTTAGTTTGCAAGTCTATGTTTATAATTAGGGCATTGTAAGAGCACGCCGGTACCGAGGGTGAGGTTGATAAAGCTGACCTTATTGGTGCAGAAGGACCAAAAATTCCAGTAAAGGGGATGGTGTCAACGAACATGAAGCTGCTGGAAAATTGTCCAAGTTATACCCACATGATGAAGCTGCAAGCTTGTTGATGTTAAGGATGAGAAGCAGAATGTTTTGGTTACAATTTCAATGTCCAAAAAACACTAAGACATCGGATCAGAAAATTCGGAGGTGTAAGTATGTGAAGTCGACTCTAGTTCAAGCGTAATGCAATCCCCATATTGCTTGCTGAAGGGACCTGTTGGCCTGTGCTTAGATGCATTCAGGGAAGAAAATTGCCTTTTGCTTTCCAATTACTGTTGGAATTATGCGGGTCACTAGCTATGTACAACGACCCATGGAGGGAGGACAGTGTACCCATTGGCTCTTATTCTTTCTACCATAAGGGAGTTTTCGTGTCAGATACATGAGGAGGCTAAAAAATTTGCCTATGAAATTGGTGTCAAGGTGGTGGTAGTTTATAGAGGCACTCCATTCAACCAACAACTGTAAGAATATGAGAGAGGGGCTGATATTCTTGTGGCAACTCCTGGATGGTTAGTGGATTTTCTTGAGAGGACTTGTACTTGGCACTTGATGAAGCAGACATGATGCTGGATAAAAAGGGTTTGAGCCTCCGATTAGAAAGATAATGGAACAAATGGACATGCTCCCATATGGCAGGAGCCAAACGATGTTGTTGAGTGCAACCTTTCCTAAAGAAATACAGAGACTTGCATCTAATATTCTTTCAGATTACATATTTTTAGCTGTCGAAAGGGTCGGTTGGAGTACTGATTTAATTGTTCAAAGAGTTGAATATGTTTCTGAGAGTGACAAGAGAAGTCATCTCGTGGACCTTCTCATGCTCAGAGAGAAACTGAAGTTAATGAATGGTAAGCATTCTTTCACCTTAGTTTTTGTAGAGACAAAGAAGGGAGCTGACTATGAATGTTGGTTGTATGTCAATGGATTTCTAGCTACATCAATTCAAGAAGATGGACAAGAAAGAGAAATGACACTTAGATCATTCAAGAGTGGGAAGACGCCAATTCTGGTAGTGACAGACGTGGCAGCAAAGGGTCTCACCATACCGCATGTGGCCAAGTGGTGAATTTTAATCTTCCAATAGATGTTGATGATTATGTTCACAGGATGGGCCGAATACGACGAGCTGGGAAAACATGAGAAAATGAGTTTGTCATAACCTAATTTTCACCTTCATAAATTTATATTTTTATATAAAATTCAAAAATTTTTAAAAATTACACGTTGCATATTTTTTTTGATCTTTCCATGATTTTTATAAATTTTTAAAATTTTAATTTTTTAGGATTATCCCCTAATTTTAATTAAAAAAATAAATAATAAAGAGAAGAAAAGAAAAAGAAAAAAGAATAATTTGAAAAGATGATTTGGAGTTCAATTGAAAAAGATGTGAGAGATGATGACCAAATAACATCCAATTAGAGGTATAATTGAAAGAGAATAAAAAATCAAGAGCCTTAATTGAGAATGAATTAGGATAAAATTAAAAGACATTAAACGAAAAGGAACTAAATAATTTCAATTAGGGACATGATTGATGAGAAAGTAATGAGATGATGACCAAATTGAAAAAAAGTATAAGAATAGAGGACCAAGACGAATTTTAATCCACAGCCCTTAAAAAACCCTAGCATATGAATCTCATTTTCTTCTCTTCTCCAGTGCGGCCACTATTCACTCTAAGGGAAAAAAAAGAAAAAAAAAAACTCTCTACTCATCTCTTCTACAAAACTACCACCATCAACCACCAAAAAAAACCTTTCACTTATCATCTATAGCCACCACAATCTAAGCCAAACAAAACCCCTAAATTATCTTCTAAACACTAAGCCAAAATTTTATGTGAGTTTTTTCAAAATTTTATTATTTGGTTCAATTTTTTATTTTATTTTAATCTGAAATTTTTAGTATATGTACATATACTTCTCCTTAGCTTATGTTTTAAATTTTATAATTTCAGAAGTCCATTTGTTATTTATTTATTACTCTTCTATTATTTCAATTATTAGTGTGAGTGTGTTTTAAAGTTTAATTATTAAGTGCAGTGTTTAATTTTATTATAATCTAAAATTTTTAGGATTCGTACATGTGTTTGTCCATCGCATTTTTTTTTTTTTTTACATTTTGTAATTTTTGGAGACCATTTACTATTAGTTTGTAATTTATTTGTTATTCTGTTGTCATTTTAATTATTAATATGAATGCGTTTCAGAATTTAATTATTATGTTCAATGTCTTATTTTATTTTAATTTAAAATTTTTAGAGTATCTAGTTTTAGCCTTTTTTTTCCTTGAAATTTAGTAATTTTTTGAGTCCATTTACTATTATTTTTGTAATTTATTTATTATTTATTTATTATTTTAATTATTAATGTGAATTGTTTTAGAATTTAATTATTAACTCTAGAGTTTAACTTTATTTTAATTTGAATTTTTTAACGTTTGTTCATGTGTTTTTCCTTAGCATATATTTTAAAATTTGTATTTTTGGAGCCTATTTACTATTATTTTGAAATTTATTTATTATTTTGCTATTTATTTTAATTATTAATGTGAGTGTGCTTCAAAATTTTTAGAGTTCGTTCATGTATTTATCCATAATATGTGTTTTAAATTTTGTAATTGTTGGATCCATTCACCATTATTTTTGCAATTATTTTATTTATTCTGTCATTATTTTAATGATTAATAAGAGTTTGTTTTAGAATTTAATATTTTGACCCAATTTTTTATTTTATTTTAATTTTAAATTTTTAGGTTTTGTTCATGTTTTTGTCCCTAGAATGTATTTCAAAATTAGTCATTTTTAGAGTCTATTCACTATCATTTTATAGTGAATTTATTATTTTTCCATGATTTTAATTATTAGTGTGAATGTGTTTTAGAATTTAATTATTAGGTCCATTATCTCATTTTATTTTAATCTAAAATTTTTAGGATTAGTTCACATATCTATATATAGCTTATGTTTTAAATATTGTAATTTTTGGTATTCATGTATTATTATTTTTCCAATTTATTTATTTTTTTGTCACTATTTTAATTATTAGGCAGGTTTGTGTTAAAATTTAATTGTTTAGTCCATTGTTCAATCTCATTTAAATCTACAACTTTTAGAGGAGGTGAAGGCATGTACTAATATATTGTCTACAAATTTTTGTTAAACTTAGATTTCATTTATTTTTTATTTTATTATTTTTTGTTGTGTCCCATTTATAATTTAATTTACTTATTAAATTTTTTAAATTCATTTAACAAGATGTGAGATCATCAAGTCTCCTAGATTCTAGGGACTAATGACGATCACATATTGAACTTAGTTTGCAATTAGAAAAAAAACCCATAATCTTAGGATAATTAAAAAACTTTAAGTCGATCTAATAAGTCTTTTATTTGAATAGGGATTGATGTTGGTCTCGACCCACAATAAATTTTAAAAAAGGAATAAAAAGAAAAAAAAATAGTTAGGGTGGATACAAATCGATTTAAACAACTTTATATATTTAAGTCTTTTTTTGATATGCCAATCATGTCGGCATATAATTTGGTTCGATTCTAAATTGACACGGCTCTCAATCTCTCGGCTCGATTTCAATTTAATACAATGCAACATAAAAAATAAAAGAACTAATTTTGAAAACATTTTCTAGTCCATATTCAAATAAAACACATTAGTTAATTAGTTCATTTCTCGACATGTCGGTTATATCGGGACATAATTAGATCTAATCCTAAATTGACGTGACTTTCAATCTTGAAACACGACATCAATTTAAGATAATGCTACAAATAAAAAATAAAAATTAATTTGATATAGATGATAAATAAACTTGGGAATAGATTTAGGAAAATAATTTGACAAAAACAAAATTTTTAAGAGATTCGTATTATTAGATTAAATTAGATATATTTTCTCAAAAATAACGAATTTGGGTTATTATTATCTTTTAAAAAATACAATTAACTCCTTAAACAGAATCTCTAAATTTGAGAACGAGTTTTCTTTGATTTGAGGAGCTTAACATGGGAGTGTGCATATGTCCTCTAGGCCGAGAGTTATAGGCATGGATGGTGATTGAATGGTTGAAAACTAGTTGGGATGAATTTATTTAGTCTTATATATTTTATTTATGCTTTATTTTATCCTATTTGCATAAGGATTTCTATTTATGGTTGAAACTTATGTAGTCCATATTTATTGTGGATCATAATTATTTAGGAGATCATATTTAATTGAGTTCATATATAATTTGGACTAGGTAAATTAATCCGCATTGAATTTGAATTGGATTTAAGTCCAAATAGATTTAGCTTATTATTATTTTTTAATTGTAGACTTTTTTGTTTAAGTATTTAAGTATCTTTATGTAACATGGAAAAAAGACTTTTGATCGATTTTGAATAAACTTTGTAAATTTTCTTTTCCAATATTGCGTATCCTTGTGTTTGACTTGGGACATGTTTTTGTATTCTTAAATTGATCAATCAAATGGTGATAGCTATAATTATTTGGTAAGATTGTAGTGGGGTTTTAAATATGGTCAAAATTAGCTAAGATTTGGTTACTTGTGCTTAGTAAGTTTCGGTCAATCCATACTTCTAGAGTTAACTAGTTTCGGTTATATTGATTTCTGTGGATTGTCTATGATTGTTGCTTTAGATTTATTATTGAATTTATTGATTGTGTTTTCAGACTCTTTGTAGGTGTTGAATTTCAAAGTTGGAAAAAAAAAAAGAAGAAAAAAAGATGAGTTGTTTGATTTCGGCTTTAACCTCCTTGTCCTACCCATTTTGGGTAACAGCAACCATGAGCCAATCATCTTGCCAAATTAAATTATAGACCATATGTAGAGTTATTAGATTCAACCTTAAATCCTTTCCAATTTCCATTGTGTTTGATTTTGCAAGGATAAATCCAATGACATTATGCATGAACTTACAGAAAGCAGAACAGCATATGGTTAAATTCAAGAAATTGTACGGTCCAATGACATTGACATGTACAGCAGGCTAGAATTAATGGAATTTGATGCAATGTACGGGGAGAAAGAAATGGTGACAATGAGATTTATAGACAAAATTGATGCTGAACTGCAAAACATACCTGATTATATATGCCATTGTGGTCATCAGAACCAGTGCTTCCCTTACCCAATGCAAACAGCCTGAGATAATTAAAAGCTGAGCAGTCAACATTTTCTGAACCTCCCACCTCGACTGCTACACAGAAACACTTGACAAGGGTTAGCTTAGGAAGCTCTAGAATAGCAGTTGAGGGAGAGAGTTCAGAAAAAATTGGATCTTCAACATTCTGATGCACAGAGAACCACAGAGATGTGCTGGTTAGAAAGAATTGTGGGCAGTATTTATACACAGTGCAAATGCCATTTCTTCTCATTCTCTCTCTTCCATGTAAAACAAAAGACAAATTGAGAATAGAAAATTAGAAATAGGTAAGTTCTTAGGCAACAGATTGGAAAATTGGGAAGAAATTTCGTGTGTATTTTCTAACAGTGTCTTCGTAAAATCTCCAATGAATTAATGGGAAGACATTTAAGGTTTGTTTGTTTGTTTGTTTGTTTTTTCTTTTTTTTTTTTTAAAATAGCACACGTTGATTTACAAGAGAATATAGTTCAGGCGCTGATTAAGCTTATTTCAGCCTAATAAGTTCAAGAAAAAGGACAAGAATCCTGCCTATAATTTCAATAAGTCTACAGGCCACAAGACCTTGCTCTTGTTGACTCGAAGTTGTTTCTAAATTTCATAAATCACAGGGAAGTTATCGAAAAATAGACATCCAAGACATGGATCTCATGGCGCCCCGTACATGTACTAATGATTGTGTAGGTAACTAGGTAGCAAGAAAAATTCTTGGCTCAAGAAAATATATTCTACTCCTTTGAGGTTGACGACCACCAACTGCTAATTCTGCTTGACGGCCACAACAAAGTTGGCCATGCTAAGATTAGATCGTTAATGAGTCTAGCAGTTTGTGATGAAAATTTTATTATTGATGGGCAAAGGGAGGTTAGGACAATTACATTGTGACAAAATGGTTTTGGCAGGGAATTTCAACAGGGATCCTGATTTGTCCAAGCTAGAATTTGCGCTTTTAGGCTTGTGCGGCAAGGTTAGTGCATAAACACACGTACGACTCTTGCGCTTGAGCTGCCTTACTGTAAATTACAATGGGTGTCCGTCTAGCTAGCCACTAGCCAGTGGTCCCCTTCGTTCTTGTGAAACAGTAATTCATGAATCCTTCCGCCCATGTTGCATAAGGCAGGGACCTTGCTAATTGTAAAACATTCATTTTGAAAGTTTTATGTGAATTTGGAATAGATTATAAATGTCTCCCTTAAAACATCACAAAGGAAAATAGAGGTAGCTAGTACTTCAGGCATTTGGTGCCGGATGGGCATAAATACCTCAAGATTCTGTCATGTGAGCAAATGGGACCAAGAATAGGTAGAACATATAGGCAACATTCAATTAGTATATGAATCATGATGTCCTAGATCACTTGCGTTGGCAATGACACTTTGGAGGTAGCACTATCTGAATGGCTAAACTAGCACCCGCCAAGCATATTGAAGGTCATGGCTCCACTGCTGCTTTCTTCATCATCAATACATCCGGTCCAAGGCAGGGAAGAGCTCGAAAGTGTAGAGATGATCTTCCATTTATTAATAATGGAGAGTTGAATCTCTAGCATCACAAATACTAAACATTAATGAAGGGATTCGGATACTCGAAACGCTGTAATCAGCCATTTATGAGGTGAATCAATTTGCACCAGACAAAAACTAAACTTACCCGTGGAAGCTCACAGAATTCTGATCCGAGATGGGAGATTCCTGAAAGGAGTTTGTGAAAACTATTTGATGGAAAGTGCAGGATCTTTATATCTGCTCCCTTTAAATGTAATCTCCGAAGTCTGAAAGAAGGATTTGATGAGAACAAGCAAGTTAAAATTTCATTTCCAGTCATGCGTACAGTTAAATTTATTAAAAATGTGCACGCTGTTGGCCTATGGGGAGTAAGCTTTCAATCGCCCTAAAAGCTTCCACTATTGCCATTATTGAAGGCAATTATAGAGGAAGCTTTTGAGGGAGACCGGAAGCTTCTCCAACCATGTCGGAACATCCATGAAAGCCTTCTTCATTGGCTAGCTATACTTAAAATATGAACCTTCATGGGGTTTATATAGATTGGTTTGCCCACTTGCTGTTAAAATTCTCGTCGAATCTCCTTACAAACACTACATTTTCTTTATCCTACAGGATTATCTCTCATTCCAAAATCAAATGTTAAAAATAAAAAGCAAACAGAGATATGCACCTCGCTGTTCAGTCTCCACTACAAAGATATTTTCCACTGCTGGTTTTTTCTAAAACTGCTGGCAAATCAATATAGTTGCCAACTTTTTGCAGAATAATATATATAAGATATATAGATATTCAATTGACTCATTTCCTACTTCAAAAGTCAAGTGAATGATAATGGGAATTCAACCTTGATGGATACTAAAACTCATTCTTTAATAAAAAGCACATCTAGTGAAATCTGGGAAAAACAAAAGGCCACTAGAAGCCTAATTAACTCTATACTTCTAGACTTGGAATCCATACCTGGAAGAATAAATCGAAACCAGTCCTGCAATGCGCATCATGGAAATCCATTTTGGTTTGAAATTGACTAGCACAAGCATCTGATCTTCCCATATGGCCTAATTGAACCTGTCCTGCAGCAGTCCCCAAACCAAACAAAGAATGAAACATGCACACTAATATGAATGAGGTATACAGATCACGTAATGATGTCTACATATTCTTCTTTACTTGCATAATCTTGGTGATGAAACATAAAGTAATATTGCACCAACTTAGCTTTACTAAAAGCTAGTAAGAACACTTTCACGTTTCGAAAATTTAAATCCCATGATCTCTTTACCCTTCAAGGATGGAAGAGCTACTATGTATACTATGTATTACCTGGCAGAACACTGAAACAAACTTTCTTTTAAACTATTAGTTCTACTAAAAGCTAGTAAGAACACTTTCACATTTTGTAATATTAAATCCCACTTCTTTCACCCTTCATGGATCGAAGAGCTACTAACTATGCACTACCTAGCAGAGCACTGAAACAAACCTTTTCTTTTAAATTATATCTTATTTAGCTAGCGAATCAATTCTTCAGACTTCAGGTAACAAAAAAACCAGAACTTGACCATCCATTGCTAGAGAAGGTGGAGCTGTGGACAACTCTTAAGTTGTTTAAAAGTTTTCATCCCAAAAAAGAAAAGTTGCTTAGAATTTGTTTTTTCCCAAACTTCTTGCCATATTTCATGTCTACTAGCTTCTATATCTTTTATCATTGTTTCTCAAATTAATTTGCAAAATTAGAATACTAAAACTGAAGATCCTTGGTGTATGGACAAGTTTTCCAAACATCATGCATGGAATTCATTTAGAGCCCACAAATTGATCCTCTTAATTATCTGATTGTGCATTTCTTTCAAAAAAACTTATCCATTCTTCCATTTTAACAAAGAAAATACTTTTGCATCTAATCCATTGAGATCATGGTGTATCAAGTCTCATGTCAAGTTGGTCCAGCATAAATGAGAAAGAAGATTTTTCGGGTAAATCCATGCATTAGAGGATTGGATTCTGAAGAGATTAACAAAGTGGTCAATATTTATTCTAGCCCTTTATTCTTCATTTCTCTCGTTGGTTGACTTACGAAAACGAATACCTCTCACACGATCGAGAGTCAATTGCATGGATAAGGAATCCATAGGGCACTATGGCCTTAATTTCAACTCTCGAAGTTAGTGTTCAAAATCATTATTCAAATTGATATTTTAGCAGTGTAAGCATTCTAGACTCATATATGTAAACTTATGAAACCTACGTACAGAAGGGATGTTGGCAGCTTGAACTCGTTTTTTTCTTTGAAAAAATGATTCTCCATTTTCTTCTTCTTGTTATCATGAAGCATAAAGACTGTTAAACAGCGTGTAATTGTTAAACCAATCCGTATTTTTATATCATTCATCAAAGGCAAAAGGGTTCTAGCAGAACTAAAATCATTCATGTGATCAGGAAGGGGAATTGAAATGGGTCACCTGATGCAAGATTTTTAAGAAACAAACTGCTGTAAGGCTAAAAATCATGCACCTATGCACGGTACCTCTACATTTTACAATTACTCAATCAATCCTCGACTTAAATTGGTCAAAACAAACGATTTTCTCCCGATTAAAGGTGAATCGATCCCCTTAATCTTGGTTCGTTACTTATTAAATGACTAGATGATTATGATATGTTGTGATAAAATGAGACATAGAATCTGTAATTGCATTTAATAAGGAATAAAGGGATTGATTTAATCCAATTGAAAGTGAAAGGTTTGATTTGAACAAACATAAGAAGTGGAGAATAAAGCCGCTCCCTTATACGTTGCTTAGAGAAGAAACCATCCACTTAGGACTCTCGTATAATTTGAACGACATGTTTTTGCGTACGGACTGGCATTTTGAACAAGAGCACAATTGATTCAGAGTAGACGACGTGCCTTTTGCCTTTTCCGGCCGAGCTTATATGGACACGAGTTTAAGAAATTTACAGAAGGAAAATTCGATTCAAGATTTGGGCTTGGCCCAAAGTCTAAAAAGGGTAAATTAAGATTTTGGCTGATATTCATTTTAATCCTTATAATTTTTAAAACATCACTTTAGCTTTAAAAACTTTAGAAGGATATAGGTAATAAATGACTCAGTGAAAGTTTTAGAATATGCTTGGTATGTTAGACAAGACATGATTCCATTAAATTAGACATTATAAGTTGTACAATATTTAGTATAGAACATGATAAACAGTATAACATTTGATGCCCACATTAGACAAGATAAGGATTATTTTTTATCCTGTCCACAACCATCCTAAAAGCAAAATTCTTACTCTGCCACCAGGTTGGAACAAACTTGTCCTATATTTTGGACGAAATTATTTTTTAATTTTTATATTATTCATTTTCTATTTATCTTATTTATTTTTTATTTTGATTTAATTGACTAAAATTTGACCAATACCTATATTTTATTTAGCTGAATTTTCATATGTAAGCCTTAATTGAAATTTTTTTTTCTAATTCATTGATTCAGAGACTAAATTGCATACATTAGAGTACAATCAAATTTAAATAAGGACTCAAATATCATGAAAATAAGATATAAAAACTCAAATAAATAATTGAAAAATTTTAAAAACCAAAATGAATTTTCATGAAAACTTCATCCATCCTTATTATGTCTTGTATATAGAAAATATAAGAAAACTCTAGCTCAATTCAATCCAATGAACCTTAAATGAACCCAAGAATTATGTTGAATCCCTATATTAGGGAAAAATGTGCTAAGCAAATCAAGATTCATCACTAATTTGGTTTGTAAAACGTTATTCATTAGCTTTGTAAATTATAATAAGGTAAAGTAAACTTCAGGCAGATCTACTCTTGGTCCCAAGTTTTACGTGCATCCACTGAAAATGCTAAATTATTGGTTCCTTACCCGATCCTCTGAAGATGAAAAAGACACATAAAAATCGACTCTAGTCCCCAACCATTCTCGTGTAAATCTTTCGACTCAAGACGTACAATTGTTGACGAAATTACAATTTTAGTTTGCATGCATACAAATTAGCGCATCTAGTGTAGTGGTATCATAGTACCCTCCCACGGTACTGACCGGGGTTCGATTCCCCGGATGCGCATTTTTTCTTTGTTACTTCAATTTTTTTAAAAGGAAGCCCTCACAGCACAGCCCCACTAGCGTTCGATGATGTTCTAGCTTCACCCACACCATGCCATCGTAATCTTGCTCTGGCTATATAGTCAATCCCTATCTCATCACACAGTCTTAAGAGCACTTGATAGAAATTGATAAGACATGGCAACATCCAATAAGCGAAGAGACTAATTGAAGAAAAACTAACATTATTTTAATCACTCATATTTACAATCACATTGGTTAACCCCAACTTTCTCCAAAGACAACGAAATATAGGAACTTAAGAAATATAAAGTAAGAGCAGAAGAGATGCATCTTCCATTACAACTCTAATTTAGGATCAACCCCAACATCTTTAAGTGTCTCAGCATGAGGTTTATGAGCCAAAGCATCTTTATGAATATGATCAGGCAAATACTGAAGCCCATCATGATCAAACTCTTGAACATGTGCCACTTTCCTGAAGAAAGATTTCTTGATAAACTTATCAGCTTCATCCACCACTTTATCCGGGTCAACCACTTCAGGTATAGTCTCTCTAGTCTTCTTCTTTACGCGAACATTCGGTGCATACAGTACTTGTTGCTTGGCAGTGTAAAGACCAAGAGATGTTGAGACAGCTATCATCCCCAGTGCTACATAAACTGGCACAAAGTCACCTTTTATCTTCTTGCCAAGCTTGCTTTCTTGATGATATTGATGCCCAAACTGATCAGCTGCTGGTGCATATGACTTCAATTTTGGTGGGGTTGATGTTGCATATGTTGCTGTCCCTCTTAAGCGACTAGCCATTGATTTCCAATAACCCTGCAAACCATATGAAGCAAATTTAGTCAGAAACTTAGCACATACAGAGTATACTAAAAATTAATGTGATCAAGATTGTAATTAAAATGGAAATCAGAGATAATTCACCCACCATTGATCTAAAAGCCATGATGGGTAGTGATGGGATATGTTGTTGGAGGAGTGATTCCCAAGGGTTAGGCAAAGATGAAGATTCTTGGCTTTGCTTGCTTGCTTGTTTGCTTGCTTGTCCAGGTAAGGGTTTGGGTTCTCGGGGGTATAAAAAGGAATGGGTAATTAGAAGAAGAGAGTTCTAGAGCCACGTAGCAGAGCGTGGAACCTGAAGTGACAGATGTTGAGATGTTAGAGAGACAGCATCCAGTAGAAGGCTCAGGAAGTGGCACGTCATGTCCTGCTACAGCACCAACTAGATTAAAACAAAAGACTTTTGGTAATAACGTGACAAAGGTCCCTATCCTGTGAAGAGTTTCCCCAATCGCCATTAGATATCTACGAGAGTACAGGGGCTGAGGTCCTTCCCTCTTTTCTTTTTCAAGGAAAGAAAAATATGGCCAAGCCTTTTAATTGGTGAGCAAAGCTCAATTCTCTAATTTTTGTTGCCTGATCGGATAGACAATAAACATCTGAAAAGTTTAATGAAATTGAACATAAAAACACCAACAGAAGCAAATGTTTGGCCCCTAGTACATTTCCATTATTTTCTTAACATGGACGAATAAGAGAGGTAAAAAGAAGTTTTTTTTAGCAATCTCATTCTTGTTCTCCTAAGAAGCTATAACCATATGGTCAAATTGCGAAAGATATGGATCTCCCCCTCCCTACCTCCAGTTCTGTGTATAACTTCATCGTTCAACGCCTCTGCATCAGCCGGTAAGTTCAGGCAGACAGAGATGCTTACCTTGCTCTTTTGTTCTACGACATTCAACAATAGCACCAATAACTCTTTAAGCGACGTTAATTTCAAACTTTACTGATGTTTTAACTACTTTCTTCTAACTAATTAATCAATTCTCTGCCCACTTAAACCAAATACATCCAACTCGTTCATAGGATGCTGATGCAAGCCATCCCCAGCAGCAGATGCAATTTTTTTTTTTTTGGCAAACGAATTGGAAGAAAAGGAGATCAGTAACAAGGCAAGGAACCTAGAGACAATCTGAAACTAGCCCTGCAGAATCAAAAAGCTGGAAGTCCAAAGAACAAACTAATATTTCACATTGGCAAAATATTGGTAGCTCATTTAAGTAACATATCTACATACCATGACATTTACTAACTTGTATACTATTTACATCAAGAGTCCACAAATTTCCACTCAAGCTTTGAAAAGATAGAAAAAAGTTCCTAAAAAGATTATTAAAAAAGAAGGGGGGGGGGGTAAGAAGAAGTCAGTGACTAGATTAGAAAGAGGCTAAGGAAAGCACATCAAAGTTGTTGAGGATCTATTCCCACAGATTAAGCTCCTGAACGTGAGCTACCTTCCTGTAGAAGGATTTCTCAATGAATTTCTCGCCCTCATCAACCACTCTATCTGGCACCACCACTTCAGGAATTGTCTCCCTTAACTTCTTTTTTACGCGAACATTTGGTGCATATAGCAGCTGCTGTTTTGCGGAGGCTAACCCCAGCGAGACTTGTAATGTTATTAATCCCAAAGCCACATACACTGGTGCAAACTCAGTCTTCCATGATGTCTTGCTCCCCTCTTCCACGAGATCAAGATAGCCAAAATCGGCTCCTGGGCCTGCATACGACTGCCTTTTCGGCAAGGTTGATGTTGCATATGTTGCACTTCCTCTTAACCGACTTACCATCCATTTCCAGTAACCCTGCAAATTGTAGCAATCAAGTCAGGAAATAACTATAAGAACAAAATGAACTGATAATTAGAAATCACTTACGGTTGATATAAAAGCCATGACTGAGGTTGAAAAGAGAGCTAGATGTGTTGTAATTTGGAAAGGGTTGTACTTCTTTCACAGAACTTAGGAAGGGTTCTTGGCTATGCTTGCTAGGAGTTGTTTTCAGGTTCCAGTTGGCATATAGATACAATTCATCAAAAATTCCTATTCTTCATTTCTAGCAAGGTGACTAGAAGAGGCTCTGGAACCATGTCACACTGTGTAGAAGCTGAAGTGATAGTTATCCTAATTGTAAAGTGCTTTACAGAGTGGCACCTCATGTTCTTGCTTGGAGCTGAGGTGTGCAGCTTTCAATTTGAAGCCACGAAATGGCTAATCATTTCTTCAGTTTCTAGTACAAGTTTCCGAACTGTCAATTTCTTTTCCTATATATATATATATATATATATATATATAGGTCAGCCACTCCTACTTCTCACATATGGACCCTATTCGTGTATCAAATACAGTCAATGACCAATGGTTATAATTCAAGTCAGAGTCATGCCAAATGCACCCACAAAGTCCATAATCCCCAGTATGCAATCTGGAATTGACTTAAAAATTTATGTAACACATTTGACGGTTCTGCTTCGGTATTCTGGGCGCAAGCAGGGTATTAACATTCATACAGGCTACCGGAAGTTGAGCAACGCACCATGGCAAGTTTCCTGTGGGAAGCTCTGAAGTTGATTTTCTACCTAACAAATATAATTCATAGAGCAGATTGTCTTTCTTCTGATCATTGTACCCATTCTTGCCGTAGGATTCTTTGCCCTTGACCACGAGTGGTCAGTAGGCATTGAGATAGGCCCTTTCATAGCCGCCAAGCCATTTTTACTCTGTTAAAGTGGCTGCTTGGATAGAAGCTGGTTCGTAGAAAAAATTGTCCTTCCGCTGTCCGTGGAAGAGTTTCTCTATCAAATCTCTTTCTTTGACAAGGTGATTATCCCAAGTAACACTGCCGATAACTGCACCTGTACGTACTTAATCATAAGAACAGCCAAATTTTTGTTTTCATTCAAGAATTGCCAACTTAAAAACTAGCTGTCTCTATGTCTCGCAAACTGATGGACGTTTTTGCAGATATGAAATCCTCTCCCGCTAGAAAGCATGTTCCATATATTTCTCAACAATTGCCTTTGCAAAACTCACACATGCATATAGTCTGCTGCAAGGCTACAAAAATTGCTGTTGAAACTCACAACTTTTTCTAGACAGAAGAAATTCTCCTCCATTACTACATTACGAAGGAAACAAACAAAACGCATATGTTATAAAAAAAAAAAAAAGAAAAAGAAAAAGTGAATAGGAAAAAAGGAAAAAAAAAAGAGTTGGAGTAGGTTAATACTAAAAAAAACTAAAAGATTTGAGGTTGTTACTATTCATTTACCGTAGTATTTTTTTTTTTTTTTTTGGTTTTACTTGGGTTAAATGGCCTTGGCTGCCTGACGCGCTGGCCTATCTTGGTAGCTCTCGTCTGGTCTTTTTTTTTCTTATATATATATATATATATATTGCAACTTTTTTTTACACCTGGGTTGAATGGCCTTGGCTGCCTAATGCACTGGCCTGTCCTAGCAGCTCGCGCCTAGCCCCCCTCCCCCCCCCTTTTTTTTTTTTCTTCATATTTTTTTTACCTGGGTTGAATGGCCTTGGTTGCCTAATGCATTGGCCTGTCCTAGCAGCTCGCTCCTAGCCCCTTTTTTTTTTTTTTTTTTGTTTTGTTCTTCATATATATATATACGGCTTTTTTTTTTCTTCATAATTTTTTTTTTACCTGGGTTGAATGGCCTTGGTTGCCTGATGCATTGGCCTGTCCTAGCAGCTCGCTCCTAACCCTTTTTTTTTTTGTTTTGTTTTCTTGTTCGTATATATCATGAAATTAGATATAAAAATATATAAAAAATAAATTATTATTATTATTTTTTTTACGTATAGTTTGAAGATGATAGAATATATATGATATTTTTTAAAATTTTAGTTTGAACATATATATATATCTGATTATATTACTCTTATTGTTAAAAATTTATTTCTTCAATTATTTGTTTCTTATTAAAATTCTCATCAAATTAATTTTTTGATATAATTTTATTTGTTAATAAATTTGATTTTTTAATACATGAATTTTGAAATAAAATTTTAGAACGTCGGTATTTTATTTTTTTAAAATATGTTATTATAATTTATAAATTTTGATTATATACATACATACATACATACATAGAGAGAGCGAGAGAGAGAAAGAGAACTAAAAGTATGTTTTAGATTGTTTGACTCAAATGTTTTTTTAAAAAATTAATAATCAATTAAAAAATCACAAGTTTTATTTGCTTTTTTATGTATATTTATTCGAAATTTAGCAGAATCAATTTTGTTATAGTTTTTATTTTAATCTATTGACTTCAATATATTTCATACAATTTAGGTTGATTTTGTTCGTATATTTTTCTATTTATTTTATATATTCTGTTTTTTTTATATATATTTATTCAGAATTTATCGAATTAATTTTGTTGTAGTTTTTATTTTAATATATTGACTTTAATATATTTCATATAATTTAGGTGGGTTTTTTTTGTATATTTTTCTATTTATTCTATATACTTTGGATTTGCTATATATATATATATATATTCATTAGTTTTATTAGAAATTAACTATATATCCGCACACATAATACCAATTATTTGTTATTTATTTTTTATATTTTAATTTTTTTAAATAAAATAAGTTAGATAATGTTTTGAAAGAACCTCCTAATTATTCATATACAAATTTTTATACTAATATTATTAAATATTTTATTAATAAATATATATAAATCAAATGACTTTGCTAATATATAATTTTGATTTACATTAATACTAAAAATAAAACTTCGATTCGCATTACACCATACGAATCGTTAACTTTACGTATGTAACACTTGTTTGACAATAGCTTAACACGGATATCTAACTAGTTATTCATTAAAATTCATTAACACTATTCACTTGTTGTTCGTGTTGCATTGTTGTAATTTTAGGTCTTTTTAATGCACTTTTGTTGGGTTTTTTTGTTTCAATCCCTACCGTTGAATTATGATATATAATCTTATTTTATCTCAATCTCACCAAACTTTTATTTTTATCCTTCTTACTCTTTTCTTTGTTTTCTCCTTTTCTAATAAACATTAAAGAGTAATATAAAAACATTTTTAAAACCTTAGCTTACGTGTTTTAGTTGAAATAATTTTTTAATATAAAATCAAAATTTTGATGACCAAACAACCAAAAATTCAAATCTTACTATTCCATTTTATCTTTTAAGTAAACACAAGATAATGGTGAGCCTATGTAAATTTTAAGCCTCAAAATTTTTTTACTCAAAAGAGTATATTAGAAAGTAACACAAACATTTTAAACTTTTAAATTAAGATGATTTTTGAACACACACTCACAGCCTCCATCTTCATCTTTTTTGGCTCGCACACACACCACAGCCTTCATCTTATCTTGGTGACTCTCTCACACGTATCCATAAAACTAAAATTATCATTATTTTTTTTCCCTAATTAATCTAGATTTTGGTTTTTGAATTCTTTTATACCGAAAATATATTACTTTTTCACTCCCTTCTTCCCCTCTCTCTGGCACTCACATTCGAGGTATCCTTAAAAAAAAAAAAAAAGAGTTGTTGTTTATGTTATCATGTATGATATTTTCGATTTTCTTTTTGAGTGAAAATGTGATTTTTATTTTGTTTTGAAAAGAGCATACATGATAGTAGTTCATGCCCGCGTTTCATTTACAACTCATTTTCACTTGCTTAGAACCAGCAAGATGGTCACTGCTCTTATTCTATTAAAAAAAAAAAAAACTGTAATACTCTCGACCTAAGATGTAAAGTAAATCAAAAATATTATTAGTAATATCTTATATTTAAAATGCAATGAAAACGACACACTAAACCTTATATTCTTAATTGTTTAAATAAACATTAATCGTTCTAGAAGATTATTTAATTTAATACTTAGTTCTATGCTTAATATAGAAACAAAATCCATAAAATTTTCCAATATTATTTTACTTAATAGAACTAACAATTATAACTCAAAATTATTTTATTTCATGGAATCAATTGCTTTATTAAAACATCTAAATAATTATTCTTCAATTAAATCAACATTCTCCAATACTCTAAAATATATGTTGGTTAAAAATATGTTAAATTTCTTTTTATTAAATATTAAATTGGTTATATATATGATTTAATCAAACTCATTTAATATTAATATAATTTAATTTAATCAAATCTATTTAATATGAATATGATTTAATCTAGTTAAATTCGCATGTTAAACCTATAATGGAAATGTACTAGGGACCAGACATTTGTTCTGTTGGGGTTTGAAGTTCAACCTCATTTAACTTTTCAGATGCTTACTCTGTATCAGATCAGGCAACCAAAATTAGAGAGTTGAGCTTTTCTCCCCAATTAAAAGGTCCCGCCATGTTTTTCTTTCCTTGAAGAAAAGAAGAGAGAAGGACCTCAGCCCCTCTAATCTCATAGATGTCCAAGAGCCATTGGGAAAACTTTTCACTGGATAAGGACCTTGTCATTTTATTACCAAAGGTCTTTTGTTTTAATTTATTTGGTACTGTAGCAGGACATGACGTGATACTTCCTGAACCTTCTACTTGATGCTGTCCGTTCAAACATCTCCATGTCTATGTGGCTCTAGAACTCTCTATTAATCACCCTTTTCTTTTCTTCGGTGGGATTAGAGCTGTCTCTTTTTGATGACCTTTTTCTTTTTGTACCCCCAAAAAGTCCGAAAACTTCACTTCAACAAGCAAACAAAACGATCTTCATCCCTGCCTAACTTTTGTGTTTCACTCCTCAAACAAAATTTCTCGTCACTTCTCATCATGACGTTTAGGCCAATGGTGGGTGAATTATTACTAATTTCCATTTTAATTATAACCTTGATCATATTTCGAGTGTACTTTTTATGTGCGTAGTTTCTGACT